CTACCAGTCTTTCACTGTTAGGTGTAGACTTCTCTAACATGGTGGTGAATGTGACTGACATTGACCTATTTGGAAAATGGTCACTGAGCTTTCCAATCAGATGCAGATGTTAGTTGAGGTTTTGAAGGTTTCAATCAAAATTCATTCAAACATTAGCACATTTCATAGGCTCTGTTGATAACAGGGGCAAGAGTTCTGTCACTGTCACTCTGCATTGTTCTTGTGTTCTGCAAGAACATATATGGCATTTCTCTCACCGATGTCACAAATATCCACAAGTAAAACATTCAGAAAAATTGAAATATTTTTAGTGAAATAAAGACCAGGGAACTGTCTTTGTTTTGTTCCTAAGTTCTAAAACGTTTCCATACCTGTGAGGTTTCAAAGTATCCTGTATCTGACAGGTCTGCAGGGAAGTCCTCAAGCAAGGACACTGACAGGATCTTTACACATAAAAATCCAAAGCAACCATCACAAAGTGATGTGAAACAGACTTTATCCCTGTTTCGCAGACTGGAAACTCAGAGTTACATATTCTGTAAACTAAGAGGTGTTTAGCTACTCTGCTACTACGCAGTGGCTAGTCGTTAAGCTCAGCCCAAGAGAAGCCCCTACTTGGGCTATTTGGAAAACAAGCTGACTGGCAGGCAGTATATTTTTCTGTGGTGGCATTTTGGTTTTCAGGGCACTGAAAGGCAAGACCCAGGGTGTCCTCTTTTGTATGTGCAGATTTAGTCAGGAAGTCACGACTCTGGAGCCAGTAGCTGCAGTAAAGGCAGCTTCCTGGTCCCTGGGTAGTGGCTGAGGTGGTGTCTTCCAGGGACTCAACAATCCCAGTGTTTGCTCTCTGATTTCACCTTCCTGACTAAGTGCCCTGGGGGAGTAGGGGCAGTTCTGTCAGTGTGGTTCTGAGCAGTCTCCTGGCACCACAGCACAGAAGCTGCTCCTTTAACTTCCGCTCATTCTTTTCTGCATGAAATTTGATCTCTGTTTTATTTCACTGATCTCAGATACATTAAGTAACTTGCTTACTCAGCTAAGAAGTGCTGAGTCTGGATTCAGTGTCTGCCTGTCAGACCCCACTCCCTCCCTTTAACTCTTAAGTTGTGGAGTTAAAAATTGTTTTGCACCTGGTAAATGCGTATGTCCCAAGGGTGTGATCTGGAGTGGGGGACCATGTTGGCCTGTCATACCTGCCATGCACGAAGCCCAGGTTCCTTCTTGTTCTTTCTCCTATAGTCATCTTCCCCATTCATTATGGTAGGACAATTTTCAATTGTTTTCTCATAATAAAGCACAAAGTGGCTAACTTTGGCCTTTTGGTCATCAAAACCCCAAGGTCCCAGAGACAAAATTTCCCCAGGATGGAAGGGCAGAAGATGAAGGAAGAGAGCCAAGAGATACTAAATACCTGAGAGGGTCCTCAATTCCACCTTTCCCACCCACTTCCCCAGGCTGAGTTCTGGGATTGGTGAGGTTGCAAGATAGAAACACTGCAATTTCCTGCTCTTGAAAATGTACCTACATCTAAGTTCCTTCTTGAACTTCCAGAAGATCAAGGATGGGTTCTCCTTGGGCCACGCTCTGTCCCCTTGGTTCCTGTGCCCAGCACCCTCCTGGTCGCCTCCTGCCTCTGACGTCTTACCTCTTCCATGTGGGCTTCTCTTCTCTGCCTGTCTTTATAGTCAGTTATTCCCTAGGCTTGTCCTCAACCCACTGATCCCATGTATTCACCTTACCACGCTCAAATTCTTCACAGGACACCAGATTTCAAAAACATTCACCCGAAAGGAGGTAAGTCAGCCCAGGTTACTGATTTTAGAGGTGTTAGTCCCTTGGCTCAGAAAACACTGATACCTTCACACAAGAATGGAACACTTGATTTCTTCCTTTGCTCACTGAATTAGTCAATATTAACCTTGAGCAAAGAGCTCAAGAGAAGAATGGCCACTTAGAGGGCCGGCTCTGAAGGACATCATTGCATATTGGTGAATAGTGGAGGTTATGGAGTTAGATTTATAAACTATCAAAGTGACGCACTTTCCCTTATTAGCTGGGAAGCCTTGACTAAGTTGTTTAGTCTCTTGTGCTTCCCTTTCTTCAGCTATAAAACAGAGAAAAGGTGTGAGAATTGATAAGTGTATTAAAAACATCACATAAGCTATTAGTGATGACTAAATCTCAGGTTCTTTTGAAATGCAGTGTTTACTTCGCACCTTTAACTGAAGCACAGTAAAACCTTTCTACACTTGCAGTCAGGAACAGAGAAAGTATGTACAGGATTCCTGCAGAACTGGAAAGTCACTGGCACTGAAATTTGTAGGTTTAACAGTATTTATAATGAGGTTTTTCTTTTAACTCAGAGTTTCAGGATAAATTATGCATGTTCTTTTCCATTTCTTTCTCTCCAAGGAAACATGACTGTGTCTTTCCAGTCTGGATTTCTATCCTACATTTGAAACTCTTGAGCTGTCCTTTTGATGACCCAATGGACAGAAGTGCTCTGTTCTCTGGTCCCACGCTTGAGAATTTCACTATCACAACACACACCCACGCTGTCTGGTCAGAGGAGTCCCCTCAGGTGCCTTCCAACAAGATTTATGCCAGTAGGTCTCAAACTTTTGCATCGAGGCAAAGAATTGTTAAGCCACAGATTCTTGGGTCTCAAAATTTCCAACTTGGTAGATCTGGAGTAGGACCCCAACCTTGCATTTCCTATAAATTCCCAAATCATGCAGATACTGATGGTCCAGGGACAACACTTTTAACAGCACTGGTCGACAAAGACCTAGTGAAGAAGCTTTTGGTCCTTTATGTCAATGTTAGCTAGAATGAGTCTTGCCAAGCAATTCAGCACCAATAAACCTCTCAGTGTAAGCCACCTGGCTGCTCTGTGTGAAAGGACTCTAAGGCCATAACAATAATAATAATAATACTGAGTTTTGACTAAGTACCACATTTTTCCTAATTTCTTTACACATAGTAAACTTATTTTGGCATTTTATAATTATGGCTGTTTTTAAAAATCAATAGTATTCTCTCACTATCTTATACTGCTGTGCAAAATACTTGCCCTCATTTTTGTTTGTGCCCATGATCTCATCAAAGCAAGAAGTGTGATTTATTTGTTAAGAGATATGAGAAAATGGCAAGATAAAAATATTCATGTGAAATGTGCATATAAGTATGTTTTGGAGTGGCTGGATGAAGCTCTAGATGAACTAAGGTTTAAAAGAAACAATTGTTTGAACAGAGAAAAGCAGTGGAGTTTGAGATGAGTCCAGCAGAGTAAACAAGTGTTTGCTGTAGTAACTTTTTGAATAACAAAGCACATGACCCAGTTTTGTTTGCGTTTGATATTGTAAAATTGTTTTTCTTCTTTATATAGAAATTTGGGATTGTGTTAAAAATAGCAAAAAGTATTCGATAAAAGGTGTCACCATTAGAGATGCTCTTCTATCCTATGTATTTAAGACATGCTACCACCAACAAGAGTTATCTGACCCAAAATATCAACAGTGGGAGTTCAGAAAGTCTGAAGTATCTTTCTTTTAACAGCTCATAGCAAATAGAAGGGGCAAGGTAACTACAGAGATGTTTATACCTATGAAATTTAAAAACAAGTTCAGAAGACAAGTTGTTACGAACTAATTTCAATATTACCAATGATGCTACTATAAATTCAGAATTCCCCCAAACCTGCTATCCAATAAACTTTATCTTTTGGTCCTCATTTGGTCTGCCAGAGTAGTAGACCCAACAGGTAACCTAACTAAAAAAACCTAATTTATGCCCTAAACCGTTCATATAATTTTTTTAACCTATACAAATTTGAGCCTCCACAAATAGAATAAAGTCATTTTTTTGAGCATCATAAATGAGATCTTCTAACTTTCTTTAGTGATGTTTTCATTTTTAAGTTTGGAGAACAACTATTTTTAAAAAATCTGATGAAATCACAGCAGCTCTTTAAGAGTGACTAATAGAGTGTTACACAATTTGATCATTTGAACTTGCAAAGATTGGAAATGTCCTTGATCTACTATGTGACTGGGTCCTCTGTTTGTTTTTATGGCAATCACTGGCATTGGGGAATCCCGAGGTGGCCTGCCAGCCAACAGATTCTGTTCAAGGGACAGCTCTGACCCAGCTTTCAAAGTCTTAGAAGTGAACAGAGTTCCTACCACGTGGTAAGCATTCCTTAGATACTGCTGAATGAATAAGCACAAAGAAAAACAGAGGAGCCCTGCAAATAAATTCTGTGCTTTCCTCTAAAATCTTACATTTATTATTATATTTATTTACAATTATATAACATTGTATAATATCTTAATCTATGCCAACATTAGGAGAGTAATACCAATAATTTCAGGTTGGGTCATTTTTGATCCATTCTAGTTGCCAGTCTTAGCCTGTACTGTGATACCAACCAGGGAAAAGGCAAGAACTGAGGCCACACAGGCAGCTCTCCCAGACTGTCCCCAGAGGAAGTCTATCCATTCTAAATGAATTTCATTTCACTGATTTTCCCCCAAACTCTCTCACCATCTATGGTCCCATCAGATGAAATCTTTTTTGAAAACTGGCCTTCTCTCCCTTTGTTTCCCTTCCTGTGTCATCCTCAATTAACTAAACATGAAAACAGTTAAAAATATTTATTGAATGACGTGTTCTACTCCTTGACCTCAATTTTAAAAGTGATAACCTCAACAGTTTCTCTTTCTTTAAAAAAAACAACAAAAACAAACACACAATCATAAATTTCTATTCATGTGTGAGCTCATGAATAGGAAAAATGTACTGATATCCAAGGTAAATTCTGTAAGACTTCTAGAGATCTACAACATCTCAACAAAGGTGTGGAAATAGGAAGAGGTATGGCAAAGGAGGAAAACAGCAGTTTATCTGGGGAGAGGGAAGAACCCACTTGGAGGATTTCAACTGGGGTTTTCCAATATAGTAAAACCTTAAGGGGAAAGCTGCTAGTCACGGATGCTTACCTTTGCAGCCCTCGCAGGTCAGTGCATTGTAATGGTATCCAGATGCTCTGTCTCCACAAACAACACATAGCTCATCCCCTTTTATTCTCCCCGTGGATGTGCCCATTCGTGCCTTCTTTGCTATAGGAATCTCTGCTACCTCACTCTCCCCCTGGTAGAGAGTCTCAGTTGGCATTCGCCGGAGTTCATATAATCCGGGAGAGTACCACTCTTCATGCTGCTGTGGGTAGAAACCCAGGTTGGAATAATAGGACGACGACGAAATCTGTGGTTGAACTTGGGGAAACTGCACACTGTTATAATGGGAGTACGGCTCCACTTCTAGAGTCTGTCCCAGAGGACATGATGCCTGTTCTGTCAGCACACCTGAATGAAAGCGACAACAAACTGGAGTTATCATCATTTTATAAATTAAAAGGGTAGCTTGGTCTATTGTTAGGAGTGATAGAGGAATGACTGAAATATTTAACTATATAAAAACTAGCAAGTTTTTGGGGCTATCCCTGGTGGCACAACGGGTTAAAGCACAGCATTATGAAGCTCTCCAAAGCCACTGCAGCACGAATTCGATCCCCTGCTAGGGAGCTGACCCACATGGTGTGGCAGACCTCTCCTGACCCACCCGCTGCTCCCCTCAGCAGTGTACTTTGTCAATCTGTCTGTTCTGCTCCCCACTGGGTCTCTGGTGAATCCTCTCACTCACCACACCTCTGGCCTGTAACCCAGTTCTGTAACACAAATAAATCTTAAAAAAAAAAAAAAAAAAAGACTTTTTCACAGAAAAAAAAACTATTAAAAAAGTTAAAGGGCAAGTAAAAGCTCCAAAAATATTGGCCTCAATGAGGACCAGATACATATATCACTAATATATAAAGAATTCTTGCAAATACAATTAGAAATATTCAACATGTAAGATAGGAGAACAAACAGGAATGTTCAAATTTTTAAAAAGGAAAATGAAAAGGAATGTTAAAAAAATGCAACAGAAAATATTCAACATTAACATGGGGAACAGAGTAAAGGACATGTACATTACTTAGTAATATCAACATGTGCTCTATAAAAATACAAAAAATGTGCTCATCCTTACCAATACCTAAATTAAATAGGTAAATTGAAATTATAAAATAAAATATAACAGTTTCATTCTCAAATATGTAAAGATTTAGATATATAAAGATTTAAAACACACTTGGGAAAGGAAACATTCTGGGAGAAATGTTTGTCAAAATCTTTCAGTATTTAAAATTCAAACACTGTTTTAATGTAGTAATTCCACTGCTACAAAATTTATTTTGAAGCTGTGTTTGTATAAAGCATAGGTATGAAAAAATGTTTGTATGAAAATATTCATTTGTAGCAACATTTTTAAGAACCATAAATTGGAAGCAATTTAAATACCCACCAATAAAAGTCTGGTTAAATAAATCATATTCTGCCCATATACTGAAATTCTATGTAGCTATTAAACAGTGATTTGGACATATGTGTGCTGATACAGAAAGGTTATGATTTGGTGCTATCTGAAAAAGTTAAGTTATAAAATAATGTGTATATTTATGTGATATTAAAAAAACACTGCAAGGAAATTTTTTGCAGAATACAAACAAAAATGGATGATGGTGAGGATGGAAAGTGAGATGGTACATTATTTTTGGGGGTGGCAGGTGGCATAATTTTTTTGATATTTGCAATTTTCCCATGTACATGTATTACCTTAATCCTTATAAAACAAGAACTTAAAAGAACTTGGGAACAAAAATGCAATTCCTGGATTCCAGTCTCAGTAAATTTCACATTGGGAATTTGCTGAAGTCCCGATTTTCTCTTTAAAATCTGGGGTATAATCACCACTTCATTAGGTTGATATAAAGATTAAACGAGATAATGCATGCCAACGGCATTTTTTTTTTAAACCGGAAAGGCTTCCTTTTTTCTCTTTATAAACTGAGATATAACTGACATAGAACATTATAGGGAGTTTTAGTTATGGAACATGATTTACTATGTGCACATACTGTGATAGATTACCAGGAAAAGTCCAGTTAACAACCATCACCACACATAGCTACAATTTTTTTTCCTTTGTGATGAGAACTTTTAAGATTTATTCTCTTGGTAATATGCAACATAGTATTATCAACTACAGCCACCAATGCTGTACATTATAGCCCCAAGACTAAACTAATCACTAAAGAACAGACATAAATAATATATGGGAGCATATATATATATGTCTGATTCTTCAAAGCAGAGTCAGGCAAATGTGACCAAAACTTCAACCCTTCCTCTTATGGATAGTGGGACTTCAAGCAAATTATTTATAGACTATTGATAAACCCAAATATTTGCAGCAGCAAACTTGAGATAAAAATATTTCATCAAGGTTTATGCTGAAGAATAAAAAAAAATCTTAGATGCACAGTTTCTGATCTGAAATTCCCAGAGAAACATGTATTTTGGAATTCAAAATTTGGGGGATTTTATAACAGGACACAGTACAATTTCTCCTAGCAGAGTCTGGAACAGAACCCAGAATCAAACAAGGTACTATTTTCCATGGTATGAATATTCACACCAAAAGCAATTTTAAAAGATTATACATATATTTATGTCCATACAGATCAGATTTTTGTTTTTGCTAAAAAAAAAAAAAAAGAAAGAAAAAAGAAAAATAAATGATGGGCCTCCCCGGTGGCACAAGGGGTTAAAAAGTCTCAACATTATGAAGCTCTCGCCAGCCACTGAGGCATGAGTTTGAACCCTGGCCAGGGAGCTGACCCACATGGCACAGCAGACTTCTCCTATCTTGCTAGCTGCTCCCCTCAGCAGTGTATTTCAGCTAGTCTTCTGTTCTACTCCCCACTCTGTCTCTGGCAAATCTTCTCACTCCCCCTTCCCAACTCCTACATCTCTGGCCTATACCCCAGTTATTGTTTGCATGTATAAATACAATAAGTAAATCTTTAAAATAAAAAAAAAAATGTTTATGCCCAACTTTGGGGAAAACATTTCATTTTCAGAGCTTCTGTGATTTAGAATTGTACACTAAAGATTGTAGATCTATACATCAATACTTGTAGTATTCTCAGGCTAAAAAGATAACAGATACTCTGATATATGCATATTGAATAATTGTTGAAAAGAATGCTTCCTGTATTAGCTTAAAATGATTGACAGAGCACAAAGTATATTATACCGTTGCAAAAAAAACTAATTTCCTCTCCTCCATACATGACTTATCCATATAAAACCACATCAAATCTGTATATCTGACAGACAAAAAGTTTTGGCAATGGACCACAAAGTGAAAGACTTTAAATGCATGGGATATTACAGACAAAAGATAACGACATAAGCAAAACTCTAATCTATTTCATAACTAGACATGATTAATATTTCTGGGATGAATAGGACTGAAAAGAACTAAAAAGCACTGAAAGCATTAGATTCATTCCCAGTTATATCTTGACTTCATTGTCCAATAGAGCTTATTCCTACTTAACTTCTGTCTCCACCCCGTGGCCCAATTCTTTCCACCTACAGATCCAGGAAAATTAAGCAATTTCACAAAGGTCAATTAATTAATGACAGAATCTGGATTCTGTGGAGTCCAAGGAAATGTGTAATTTTTTCTGTTCCCATGATCTCTGAGCATGGTTTCAACAGAAGAATCTTTTCATTATCAGGAAACACAAGGGAGTCCCATCTCAGATAATGATATTAATCTCTGGAATCATCTCTATTAAAATAGAAAGTGCTCACAAATACACCAATATTACATGAAAACAAAATATGGTAAGAATATGAAAACAGTGCACAATATCATTGAATAATGCTTCGATTCCCAAAGCAAACCTACCCCTAGTACATTACACATCCCCACCAAATCACCATAGAATACAGACAATAAATATACAGGCAACTTACAATCAAAATCTACCAGAGCCAAAAATCCTAAAAGGGTCTAATAGAACAATTTCCATAATGAATTGAGTATGAGACTTGGAAGAACTGCCCAATATTTTTCTGTAACAATTTCTTCTGTAAAACCTGACTGTTAATACCCAGTCATGCTATTTTATATTTCTGAGCATAAAATTCAATTTTGCAAAGTCAAATACCATAAAAGAACCTAGCAAGCTCCTAATTTTAATGAGGTTCATTGACAGCTAATTAATATTTATTAACAGCAGGATGCTTGATGACTGACAGGATTCTTCTTTTGTTTATAAATATAGACTGAACATTTGTCATTTGTTGGACATTGTGCTCGGCTTTGCAGATACAACAGTGGATAAGACAGATAAAACAATAGAAAAAGACCCGTACTTTCTCACATCTGTGAGTGTGTTGGGAAGAGTGTGGGGTGGAGGTGGGGCATGCCACACGGAATGTCAAGTTGGGACAAAACCAAGTAAACACATACAGAATTTTCCAGTGGAGAACAGGAGGTGGGAGGGGTGGAGTTACGTCCACTTCAGCGTATGCTTTCTGAAAAGGTAAATTTATTTCTACTTTACTACAATTTAAAGGGAATGTACATGCATTTATAAACATTGAGATTTGTAAGTAGTTTTTTGAACCAGTCTTTCAAGGAATGGGATAATCTGAATGTCTCTGTAGCAGGGATTTTTCCATGAAAGTTTAGAGAAGAATTCTTAAATGGGAGTGTGGGCTCCAAGAGAGTCCAGGGCTCCCTGCAAGAGAAAGGAAGCAAGATTCTGGGTAACATGTCTCTAGCACTTAATAGTATTTCCAAAGCAGTGCCATCTCAGGTAACTTTCTGAGATGATGAAACTGCTGTCTCCCTTCCAATAGGTAGCCACTAACCACATGGGAATAATAAATACTTGACATGTAGGGGAAATAGTGAAAAATTGAATTTAATTTAAATACAATTTAAAATTAAGCAGCACATGTGGCCAACGACAGCCACATCAGACGCAGCAGCTCTAAGCAGACTGTCATCAGAACCAGTGTGTGCCCAAGAGGAAGAAGCGGGTCCATGAAAGAACAATGCACTTGCTCAATTTCTCACAGTTTCTGATGAGCCTGAGAAAGAACTGGAATTCTGACCAGTTGCTCATCCCTGGCACCAAGATGACCATAGTAAATGTTTCATGAACGTGTGTTGAAATGTCTCATGAATTGAAAAACTGCCTCCTCTGCCTTCCTTTATTTCCTAACCCAGGATTTCTTCACTAGATGATACGGCTTCTTTTGTGAAGTTGTTTGTCATTCCAAGTGCCAGGCCCTTGTGACGCTGGTGCCTCTCTCAGATTGTCAGCTGACCTCCTCTGTGAGGCCTGTCCCAGTTTCCCTGGCTGGAATTAGTTTCCCTCAACCTCTGGCTACAGCTCCACTCCAGCACCAGCCAGACACATGCGCAAGGGTTCTTGTGTGTTCACAGGTGTCTCTCGCAGCTAAACTTGAAGTAATGTGACGTACTGGCTCCCAGGACCTGCTGTGCATACATAAGTTCACTGCAAGTAGCTAGATGTATGAGCATGGGAAAGACCCTGAGATTCTTGAAGTTTCTTTTCCTCCTGCTATAAAACTGGAATGACATAGGACCTACTGAGAGGCTGTAGTGAAGATAAACTAAGACAAGGAATGTAAACTGCCGAGCACCTGATACAGCAGCAACATCCAATACATTGCTGTGGTTGATCTATGAACTCTGGAAATAGATTCCATTATATTCCCTTTTTCTTATCTTTCCTGGCAACTTATGCAAAGCCTGACACAGTGTAAATGTTTAATAAATGATGAATTGAAAAGAATGGAAAATTTGCTTCCCCAGTCTTCCAACTAATTTCCATTTCTAAACACAGTGGAAGTCACTCTTAGACATCACATTTAACTAAAATGGTGTGCTACCAAGTCTACAATCAGAAATACTTCCAAAATTGTGATCATGATAAAAATTATTATCTGGAAATTTAAAAGGTATCATTCTGTTTTGTGGAAAATGTCAAAACAGACAACACTGCCTGTTTTCATTACACTCTGTTTTACTTCTCAGAAAACAATTAGCCTAATTCCCAACTCTGTACTCATGTGCTTTTGCATAGATTTGGGGGGGAACTTACCAGGAAATAGTTCAAAAAAATAGTATTTTGATCTCTTTATTTTTGTCATAACAACCCATAGTTTGAAATGCATCATATATCATGGTCCCTTAATTCACACAATGTAAAATTATTTGAAACAAAATTTCCATGAAATAGCAATCACCCTCGCTTCTTGGGATGTGTGCTGACACTTCTATTCTACTCTGCTCTTCTCCACTCCACTCCATTCTGTCCTAGTTTTTACTATGGTCACAAACCACAAATCAGTCTTCACAACCCTCTGGGATGTGAAGGTTGCCATTTTTAAAACACTGCATTAACATATTTATTTTAAATATTTCTTCTAGGGTCCACAGGCATTAATGTTAGAACTACTTAGGGTTTATATTGGAAAAAATGGTGCTAATTTGATATAATGTCCAATGAAGAGTGTTAGGGAAAATAGATTTAACGCTAAAGAGGTGCTCACATGCCTATAAAAACCATCCCTCCCAACATCCCACCTGTCTTTTGGCTCAAGCTGAACCACCTTTGACAGAAATCTCTATTACAACCTCAAACCAAAGTCCCCCATATTTCCTCAAACTGCAGAAGCTTGGGGCAGAGTGAAACAGAATCCTACCTTTAGCTGGCTTCATGCTCATCATTTCCATGAGAAATCCTGAGGCTGTATAGCTGTGGCAAGGGCTAATGTGAACTGGGTTTTCTAACTCCTGAAACTGCATCACCATTCTTAGCTTATTCACAGTGATTGAAAATGAGAATAGGTAGGGAGTGACAGAGGACAGAGGTTGTGCAGTTTACTGATTAACTTCATTACAGAGCAGAATATTTGTGAATGTTTATGAGAAAAGTCCTCGATGCCAAAGTGCCTAGTAAGCTGGAAACCAGTCCCTTAGATAAACATTTTGGGGAGCGTTTATCCAGGTTAGGAACTTTTAGAGGGTAGACTTCTGTTCAGTGACTCTAAAAATGGGTTTGGGGGTCAAGTACTATGTTCTTCATCTTGACATTTGTTCCTGGCAAAAGCAACAAAATAGTGTAGTTTTAAAATGTCAGGAAGCATTAAAGGACAATACTTAGCAGTATAGAAATAGATAGAAACCTAGTCTGGAGGATTATATCTAGTGTTATAAGTTGAATTGTATCCCCCCAAAATTGTTATGTTGAAGTCCTGACCCCAGTACCTTCGAATGTGATGCTCTTTGGAGACAGGGTCTTTACACCCATCTCATGTTAATGCAATAGGATCACGTCAAATTGTGTTCTTTAGGGTACTGTCCTTATATAAACAAGAAACGATGACACGGAGACATACATGTATAGGGAAAAGGCAGTCACCCACAAAGCAAGGGGAGCGACCTGCACTGACCCTTCTTTCAGTGCCCAGGCCAATTGGCCCTGCCAATTTCACCTTGATTTTGGACTCCCCAGAGTGGCAAAATAAGTTTCTGTTGTTTAATAAATTTCTGTTATCACCCAATTTATGATTTGTTACAGTAGCCCTAACAAATGAATATATCCCTTGAACCATAGGCAAATCCTGAACCATTTTTCTGCCTCAATTTTGTCATCTCAAAAGGGAACCAAGAATCACCCAGCCTTGTAGAGTAAAATAATATTTATATAAGCTTAACACAGAGGGTGATCACTCACCAGCATGAGGACTCCTCAGCGTTGGACTCATGCTACAGGCTGGCTTGCTTATTGAGGAGTAATTCCTGAAGCATAAAATTATGGATATGGAGCTAATGACTATTAGCTATAGCATAGGATTCAGCAGCCCAGGGTTGAACTCAGGCCTAGATACACTGGATAACCCGAGGCCAATCTCTCAGCTTGCCTGGGCCTTGTTTGTCTACATCGACAGATGGTAAAACATAGATAGTAATTCCTGCTTTCATAGGCCTGTTGTGAAGATAAGGTGACAAATAGTAAATATGAAAGTAGTTTTAAAAGGCAAAAGTGAGCTCTATAAAATAATAACCACAGCTAAGACATTTCTACAACCTTTATCAGTTTTCAAAGTACTTTTCTGTGCATTATCTTGAGTTATCCTCACACCCTTTAAGCAAGGTATTAATTTATGATGTCCCCCATCTTCTTTACTATTTAATAGACACAGAAATGCAACTCAGTGCGCTTTTCTAGTTAGTAAGGAGTGAGGCTAGGACCTAACCCATGTCTTCTGACTCAAACAAATGGAAAACCTTAGGCACACATGTCCTCACTGCCAAGAAAGAGGTCATGAGTAATGGTCTGTGTGTGTATTGCAGTTTGAATTGTTCAATCAAGGTTACCATTTGCAAAGTTGTCCTCAATCCTCAGTTCTCCCGACTTCACATCTCTTCTCTTCACAATCGCAGAACTGTTCTTGCCTGGAGAGGATCTTAGGTGGAAGAGCTATCCAAAGGATATGAACCAGGACTACCGAGATCTGAATTTTCTTGTTTCAAGAATTCTCTACTAACTCTTTTATGGTTCAAAAGAAAGGAGAATATCTGCTTCCCCCAGAGACTTCTGTACTAAAATGGCAATGAGCATTCCTGGTTAGCCGAACCAGGAAACCTTTGTTGCTGAGTGAAGATATTATCATAATAAGATTCGATTTTATGGATCCCACTAGATTAATTTTCACTTACTCCATAATCATTGGATTATGATTGGGATCCTTTTCCTTCTCTTTCAGTGGTGACCAACAGCCTCATTTATTTTCTAAAAATCGATCTCTTCCCTGATGATCTGTGCTATTTGAAATGCGAGCTACTAGTCCCATGTAGATATTTAAATTTAAATTTTTTAATTAAAAAGAAATAGAATTGGTTCAATAGCCACGTATGGAAATTGTGGCTCAACAAACTAGGTCTAGAAAGTTCTATTGACAGTGCTGTTTAGGTGGTATTTGGGAACAATGTGAATGACTTGTCAATCATAGCAAGTGGGGGTGTCAATTATGAACCAAAAAGAAAAAAATACCCCAGAGCAAACGTTGGCAGCACTGTATTACAAATTTTCATTAAGAAAGACTTGCCCAACAAACTTGGAGTGATATAACCACACTGGAAAAGACTTCTCTACTGAGAGAGGGAGCACTGAGTGTTCTCTTAGCCAAGAACCTTAATTATTCAATTTTGATTTCTTGTCCTAGTGATATTATGATGGTTTACTTACTACCTGTGGAACCATAAATACAATATTTATCATATTTAAACCTTCATTTTTCTCACCAGTAAAAGGAGAATGACATGGCACTCCTCTAAGGGGATCTACCTTATAAGGGCATCTGCTTATAGGAGTGTTGTGAGAATGATTATTAATGCAAGCAGATATAAAGTATTAGGATGTGCTAAGCATTCTTCTCAGAAATTTATTAAATAAAGTTACAATGTGTATAAAGTTAAGGAATTTGCCTAAGGCCACATACCAACTAATGGCTGGATGGGACTGACCACAGGAATTCTAGTAACAAATCTAAAATTACTTAACACGAAGCCTGATATGTAGAAAACAGTCAAGAAATAATAGCTCTTATCTTTATCACAATTCCCTTATCACTATACATGTATAGATTTTCAATATGACTTTATCGTTAACCTTTCTCAGCTTGGTTATTATGAGTACACAAGATCTGTTTCTTAGCCTGAAAGTTGAGAGTCAGGTCATAAATGACAGAGGATTTGCCCACCAACTGTCCAGCATGCCTGCAATTCTCTGGATCATTGCATGCCTCTTCCAAACAATGTAGGTCCTCTGTAAAAGAAGCAGCAATCTATTTTGTAATAAGGAAAAACTCCTTCAGTATACTCCCTCTCCATCTCTTAACGCCACTAACAAAAGTACTAGATCTGGGAGTCTAGGGAGAGCTAAATCCAGAGCCAGAGTAAATTAGTAAAAATCTTAGAGATTGCTTAAATACATCTTAAATACATGTAAGAGCTGTGGATAAGAAATGCAATGACAAAATATTTAAAATATGAGCCAATAGTTATCTTTCCATCTTCAAAAAATGTTTCCCTTTGATTCACCCACCAAGCCAGAACTCTATCCACTGGAGTTGATTTTAGTGACGGGAAAATACCTAAAGTTAAATGTCAGAGAAATATTCCATAAAACTGAATCTCCAAGACTTTTGATTGTATTTTAATATGCCTGGCCAGTTCTGTAACATCTGGGAGACACTTTCTATATAAGCAAAAGACACAGGTAATAAACAGATTCCAAAGTGAGTATCTTCTAATTACAATAAAGCTATGTGAGAAAGTGAGCAAAAAACATCTGAGAGAAACCGAACACAAAGAGAAATAACTAAAGGGAATGGAATATGGAACTCCATGGGATACACCTCTTGCTTGTCACATTGGGTCTCATCCAGAATAGACCTCCAGAAACACTATTAGACACAATAATTAAAAATAATATAAAAATGTGGACCCCATAGCTGTTGCTAGCAATGCTATTGTGCCAAGATGAGATAAAACATGTTTCCTCCCTCAGACAATCTAGAAATTCATATATATACTGTTGGGATTTGTTGACTACTTGAAAATTCTTTACACTCACCAATGTTAAGATAAAAAGAAGTTCCTTCCCTTTGATGAGTAGAGTAGTGTCTAGTCATTTAATGATTTAAATTGAAGCAACTACATCACAAACTCTGGGTTAGTTATAATGTTTTTTGATGCCTTGAAGTTTACAGAACACTTTCACACACAGCCCATTCGATCCTCCCAAATGGCTGTGAAGTGAATGTCATTACAATCCCATTTTACAGCAGAGAAGACTGAAGTTCAGAGAATCTCAGTGGCCTCCCAGGTCTCCTTTTTCAATTTAATTGCTTATATTCTCTGACACTCAGGGAGCTTTTCCCAGTGTCCCCGAGTGAGGTGAGCAGGGACTCACTGCACTGACATCAGGTATGGGAACAAGAGGCTGGGCCTTGTCCTGTTTATTTTGTCTGCTAGAATACTTCTCTATTTACTTGGTTTTTGACATTCTGTGATTGTTTTTTGAAATTCTGTGATTTGTGTTTTTCATCCCTTGCTAAAATAGACTCAGATTTTATTTGATAACCACCTCCTACCCTATTCACTATGTCAAACTGCGGGGAGCTGTGGACTTTGTCATTATTACCTTTTATTATGCACTAATTACACAAAGACCCTGCCTTTTTCATTCATTAGCGAAGTCTTTCTTAATCCACTATATTAATCTTTGACCAAGTTTCCTGGCATGCAGAATCACCCACAGGAAAGAGACCTGTCTCTGCTAGGTCACCATGCCCTTTGTATGTGTGGACCAATGGGCTGTAGTCCCATGAGCCAGTGTTAGGGATATACCACAGCCAATGAATTAAAGAGCCTCATGAGGTGACTCCAGCCCCATGTCTATAATTCCATTCTGTCCACACTTCTTTCCTTCTTTCCTATAAGGATTAGCCTAAGAAAACAGAATAAAGCCATGCCACCACCCCTCCTCAACCCCATCTCCCCACATACAACTGAGCCTTCCTTTGAGTATTCCACTTCATCTTAAGGGGAAAGCACATTTGTACTATGTGGCAGGTCCCTCCCAGGAGGCTGCCAGTCCTTCAGCCCATCTCTCAATTGAACATATGTGAGTGTCACTTACTTATGTGAGTCTGTCATTTAGCATCATGCTGCTCGTGTTCTTCAATATCTCAGGAGACCACCTGGTATGATTTCACCTGATATAGCAAATTTACAACCCAGGAGTTCAGGGTAGTTAATGACCCC